TAGTACTATATTTTGTAGAATAAGTATTGCAATCTAGTTTATATCTAAGTCTACTAGGTTTCTTTTCTAACTATAATAGATTCCTAGTTATATTAGGCCTAAGTACTCTCTTCTTTAAGGTGCTTTAGATAAGTACTATAGTTAGATTGCAAACCCCCCTAAGGAGTCTGCAGGAGCCTAGGTGTTAAAGCGCTATTAGAAGGATGTTAACTAATTTAAGGCTACTGTTTAGAGGACTGCCTAAAACCTAGCTAAAACTATTACTATTACTAAATCTTAGACTAAGGGCATAGAAGCTGCTAAGATCCTTATAGCTATATATTATGCTGCTATATCTAATTCACGTTAGCTTTAGAATAGTATTTATAAGATAGTCTTAGTAGTTAGGGGCTTAATAAGGGCTATTAACAAACTTAAAGAGGAAATAGCACTAAATTAGGAGGCAACTTTTACAGTGTAGGCTAAGATAAAGGTATTTAATAAGAAGGCGTCTAAATTAGTTCTAGCTCCTACACCTGCTGTACTAGTTGTCTAGAAGCTAGCTAAGAAAGATAGTCTAGGCGCTATCTTAGCTAATACAGAGTCTGAACTAGGGTCTAATAGAGAGATAGATATAGAATAAGGAGGTTTCCTAGGGGTAGTGTCCTAGGAACCTTAAAGGTTCTAAATAGGATATAATAATAAATAGCAACAAGAATAATAGTAATAGATAGTAGTTAATAGATAATACGTAGCTAATTAGGATGTGAATTAGTTCTAATATTAGGCATAATCGTTGTGAAGTAATATTAGATCCTCTTTACCTTTTTCCTAGGCTTAAATCTATTTTAGTAAGCTGCGTAGGGGACCTAGCTAATTTAGATACTATTAGTAGAATGCCTGTAATTTATAGGGAGCACCTATAAAGTTAGAGGCAGGATACTAAATAGGATTAGGATTGTGTCTAACCTACTTAACCTTATATTTTAGCTTAGATTAATATAATTTGCTAGCTAGGATTTCTTCTACCTCCTATTCCTCTACACCTTATATAGGGGTACTAGGGGGTTTTAGAGCCTCTTATCTAGGTAACAGGTCTTAGGGATCTTTATATAGTATATTAGGAGAGAAAACATTATAGATCTTAGAACTAGGTGGTAATTAGAGGCGATACGCGTTTCCTACTTATTCTAATACCTTAAAGGGACCTTCCTATTATTTAGATAGTTTTTAGCTAGGTTGTGAAATAGCAAGATTAGTAGTAGATAGATAAACATAGTTACTAACCTTCTAGTCTACTAGACAATAATAGCGATTGGTAGCGGAGCGTATTCAGTCTTAAGCTCTTTCTATATTTTCTTTAGCAATCTTCTAGGCGTCGTGCATCCAAGTAGCAAGGGATAAGGCGTCCTTGTGGTTTAGTTTCTCTAGGATGATGTTCTTCTTGTAATATAACGACTTAGGTAGGTAGGGCATCCAAAAGGTATCCTATATAACTTAAAGGCATATAGGAGTGCGCGTCTGTACAGAAAAGGATGAGATTCCTACACCTATAGGTCTTATACAAAAGGACAAGAAGAACATGCCTATCCTAACTATAGGCGAGCTATTCTCTATATATATTAGTGAGTCAGGCCTTTATTAGGCCTAACTTAGCATAGAATAATAGGCAGGCAATTCTGCCTTATTGTTACAAGTAACTATAATAAAACTAAAGCTAGTTATAAAGGGCTTAGTAAATATTAGGATTATTAGTAAGGATAGCTTCTAATTAAGTATAGGTCTTATAGCTATAATAGCAGGACTTGTATAAACGCCCTAGATATAGTTAGAACTTGCTATAAAGAAAATAAAAATTAAGGGGGACTTACTACTACCTTCTGTTGCAGGAGGGATATCAACCGGATCACGGAGCATCTTGATCCGATCAATCCCGATTAATACCCCTGTATGACCCACTATCTGATCGACTGCTAGCTCACTGCTAAGTGCCTAACAAAAAGCAGGAGCTCTGGTAAGGAAGGTTTACCGATTATTTACCTTCTAGTAAGGGTAGCTGAAGCTCTATATATATGAGTCCGATCATAGTAGATACAATCTAATGATCCATCTCCTAAATCATTCCTGACCTTAGTGATCCAAATTTCCACACCTTCCTAATAGTTATACTTACTAAAGAGATAAAGCTAGTTAATATACTAATTATAGGGAAGTAGCTTTACAAAACTACTATTATATTCCTTATTATCTAAGTTACTAGAAATAATAAAGCTACTAAGTAACTATATTTAGGGAGATATATACTAAGTAAAAAGTTAGTATAGGAAATATAGGGAGAATATTAGAAGTATACACCTTATCTTAGTAGGCCTAGCGTGGGGTCTAACTACCTTATAGTAGATCCCTACTACTAGCACTAGTAGTAGTAGATAGGGATATAATAGGGGCTAGATAGGCAGGATTTAATAGGGAAAGAGTAGAGAGAGGGCTAATTAGTAGGGAAAAATCTATTATATAACAAAGTAAGTTTAGGAAATTTATAGTAGGGTAGGATAGCTATATTAGAACTTTTATAGTAGGGTGCTAAAATAAGCGTATAGACACTACGCGCGCGTACTACTTAATATATAGGCCTATTATAAATTAGGAAGGAATATAAAGATATAACAATAAAACTAAAAAATATAGTAATAAAGCCTAATATAGATTATAGAGGATAAAGATATAACCCTAAACCCCTAGAAAGACAATTTTATAATAGTTTATAGGGGAAGGTTAGGGGTATGTAAAGGGCTTAGGCTTATACCTAAGCCTAGGTCTAACACAAGATAGACTAAGTCTAACACTACTACTAAGCGAACACACTAGACACCTATAAAAAGGCGTAGAGGGCTTATCTCTCCTTTAAGATACTAAATACTATTATTAACGCTTATTGCATTCTCCCTTAAGGCTAGTCTATAACATAGGGATTAGTATTAAGAGCTATAGTAGAGTAAAAATACTAATAGATTAAGTATATAAACTATTACTACTACTATCTATAGCTTTAAAAATAAGTATACAGGCTAAGAAAGTTAGGCTAATAGATTAGCTACTAATAAATTCGCTAGCAAGAACTTTTAAAAGTCACCTCCGTACCTAGGTACCTTTAGCGGGATTACGGCAGGAGGAGAATCTCAGGTCTCAATCTTGCATAGGCACTACCAGCTACATATACACTCCTTGTATACTGCATGGGAATCTCCTCTTTTGGAGAGTTCGAACGAGGAAGTGAAGAATATCATGTTTCATTGCTGCTGCCAAGGGCTGAGTGCGCGCGATGCTCCACTACCGGCACCGTAGGTACCGGTAACTTAAAGTACTTCAGCCATTTGTGTCTACCACCACAGACAGTTGCATACAAAATTGAGCGGTCAAACGCCTGGGCCTAAGCTTACATATTACTGCTGATTGTTTGATAACCACAAAGAAAACCTGTGCTACATTCGTTCTCCCAGAAATGAGCATGCGGTAATGCAATTACCGGTACGGCACACAGCCTTAGCCATCATGTAAGCTTACGGTACCGGTACCCTACCCACACTTGCTGTAACATATCCAATTGCCACAGCCATCCGCCACAGCCATCTGCTCAACACCAGCAGTTGCCTAAATCTATGACTGCGTATGATCGACTGACAACAGCCCTGGCCCACTTTTTCGCGTTAGACTCCAGTGAACATGCTTCTTCCTCACTCTTCTGAAGCTGCTTCTGGTTGCTGTGTGAATCGGGCCTACAAAGAAGCTCGGATGTTTGGAGTTTTGCGAATAGGGCCGCTAGAGTCTGGTTGGTTCATGGATACACTTTGTGTGCTTACATAGATTACGTGGAACTCTTAAAGGAGGCGCGGACGACAGTACCCAAGGTTGATTCCTAACAGTGCCTCTTTCCTCATACCTTGATTTGATCTGCATCTTGGAAGCTGGCACTGCCTGGATTTTCTTCTAGGGGTTTCTCTGTCTTTTCTATCTGAACTCTATCGTTCAGAGAACCATTGTACCTGTACCTTTCTGCGATATTGCCCGCTCTTTACGATCCCTAGTACTATCTATGGTATGATGTGATGATGGAAACTCTCGCTTTCCTTGCGAAAAATCAAATGCGAACTTTTCCACGAAAGTAAGTCATCCCAGCCTCAAGCGTTGTTGTTTCGTCTTGTTCATGTTCGGTCCGTCGTGGTCGCTCGTTATGCTTCGTAGCACAACATAAAACAAGCATTTGGCCGGCAATAGTACTCTCAGCTTCCGCACGGGAGGATCATCAATGTAGTGTAAAACCACTTGCGCCTCTGTTTCGTTTAAATACATAGCCACCCCTCTCCGTCCAATCGCATTCGTATCGCTGACCGGCACCTGCGCAAAACAACAGATCAATTATCATTGCCGTTTCTCTCGTCACTCTTTTCATCCCACTCTCGTATTTCTACATCGATGTGCCCACATCCTATCACCGCGCCTACGCTCCTGGTTCGTCCTCGCCTGCGTTTGTCCTGAAGCTGCAAAATGACGTGCCCCAGCCTGGCTATTTCAAGAACCAGCCAGAATGGGATTGGGAAGTACCCGATTACAGCAGCAGGTGGAAGGGGTATGCGCGGAAACCAAAGAGCAAGGATGTTGTGTTATTGACGGCGAGTGATGGCGGAGGGCACAACAGTGAAATTCCAAATGTTTTAGAGAGAGTCTTGCAAAATAGGGAGGATTATTGTGCAAGGCATGGGTATACAAGTATGTGGTTGAATACGAGTCGTTATGATATTGGGGATTCTCACCGTGTAAGTCACCTCTGCTATCATCCGTTCTTATATCTCGATTCCATTCTATACGCCCTCCGACACCTAAACGAATGGAAAAGTAACCGCGCAGGACCAGTACTAATCATATAAGAGCAGGCGTGGTCCAAGATTCCTGCCGTAGCCGAAGCCTTCTACATCCACCCCAACGCAGAATGGGTCGTGCTCCTTGACGCCGACATCATCATCATGACCCCGACCGTCGACATTATTGAATCCATCATCAGCCCCCACGCCATCAGCACCAATATCCTCCGCAACACACCCCTCCTGGAAGGTTCAGAGGATGAACACCCCCCATATATCAGAACACCTACATCCTACCGTGTCGAAGACGTTGATATCCTCATCACTCAGGACCAAAATGACATCAACGCTGGTGTTATTTTTTTCCGTCGTTCAGCCTTTACCCGCTATCTCCTTGAAATCATGACGGATAGCAGGTTGATGACGCGAGAGCATGGAGGCGCCGAACAAGATAGTATAAAGCATTTGATGCATGAACACTTACTCGTGAGGAAACATGTGGGTATCTATCCCCAGAGGAAATTCAATGCGTATGTGGACGGAGGTGAAGATAGGGGTTGGCGAGACGGCGATTGGCTGGTGCATTTTGCGGGGTGTTGGGTTGAACATGTATGTAAGGAACACTTCAATGAATTTTGGGACAAGAGAACGTTTGAGGGGACCTGGAGACCGGATGATAGTCACGGGAAGGGGTTAGAGGGAGGCTTGGTTGGTGAGTAGGGTGTGAAGAATGACTCGAATGTGGCGAGCGGGGTGTATGAAGGGAGTATGGTCTCTCTGAGATGTTAGAGGCTTCAATTGGTTCTTTCACCTTCAACCTTAATATCCTAGGATCGCCGATCACGGCGAATATACATACCCTTCCGTCAACATAGTATGTCTTTTTTACCCGCAATTTTCAGGCAACTTAATAAGACAAAAAACACTACAGTACAAAACTAGTTTATAGTAGCTATATTTATCTAAAGTAGACTAAGAAGTAGTTTAGGTAAAAGAAGTAAACCTAAATAGGGTTTACTATACTATATATTCTATAAAAGTAAACTACTTTTATTTCTACTTTTATTAATTTACTAGTATTATATAATAATAACTAGTTTCCTACTAACTATTTAAGGATTTTTACCTCTCCTGTATTTAATCTTCTTTACTACCTCTACTACCTTTACTACATCTACTACTTCTACTGTAACAAGTGCAAGCACTCGTTCTAGTTTTTCTTATTAGACTAGCTAAGATATTATTAGCCCTAATACGGCTCTAATACAGATCTAACTCTAGTCTAAGGCCCCTCTGCCTCTTGTAACGACTTAGGTAGGTAGGGCATCCGAAAGGTATCCTATACGACTCAAAGGCATATAGGAGTGCGCGTCTGTATAGAAAAGGATAAGATTCCTACACCTATAGGTCTTGTACAAAAGGACAAGAAGAACATGCCTATCCTAATTATAGGCGAGCTGCTCTCTATATACATCAGTAAGTCGGGCCTTTGTCGGGCCTGACTCGGCATGGAACAATAGGCAAGTGTTGCAGGAGGGATATCAACTGGATCACGGAGCATCTTGATCCCGATCAATCCCAATCAATCCTAGTCAATACCCCTGTATGACCCACTATCTAATCAACTGCCAGCTCACTACTAAGTGCCTAATAAAAAGCAGGAGCTCTAGTAAGGAAGGTTTACTAATTATTTACCTTCTAGTAAGGGTAGCTAAAGCTCTATATATATAAGTCTAATCGTAGTAGATATAATCTAATAATCTATCTCCTAAATTATTCCTAACCTTAGTGATCTAAATTTCTATAGTTATAAGCCTAGTTCGCGCTTTACCTTATTAAAGATTGTCCTATCTATTTAAGCGTATTGTTTAACTTAGACACTAAGCTAGCAAGCTTCACTCTTTATACTATTTCTTAAGCAAAAGCTTACTTATTACTCTTCTACTATAAGCGACTAAATCCTAAAGGGGGATATCCTACTTACTAGATTAACTAACTAGCCTACCTAGTATATTCAATTTAGATACTATACCCTAACTAAAGGGATCTAGGCAGAGGTAGACCCTAAGGCTCTAGATGCTGAAAACCACTTTAAGAATAAACCTATTAAGCCTAACATGCTAACAGATATCGCGCTATCTAACACAACGAGCGAGCAGTACAAGCTCTAAATAGCTTAGTACCAAGCCAGCTTATTAGATTAGGCATCAAAGTTATTAGCAATCTAGAACCTCTTTATATAGGTTAACAATATAGTAGATTAAGGGATCCTTACCCTAGCCTATATAGAGCTTATTAATTAAGGAAGAGTAACCCTCTAAGCACTTATCTAAGTGCTCTGTAACAACCTAGCTGTAAAGGGCTTAGGCTTATGCCTAAGCCTAGGTCTAACACAAGACGGACCAAGTCTAACACTACTACTAAGCAAACACATTGCACACCTATAAAAAGGCGCTAAGGGCTTACCTCTCCTTTAAGATACTAAATACTATTATTAACGCTTATTATATTCTCCCTTAAGGCTAGTCTATAATATTTTAGTATCTTCTTCTAAATATACTATAATAGTAATAAGAGATAGACGCGCTAGATATTTAGAATAACTAGGTACAACCTAATATAGTAGAAAGGCTAATATAATAGGTCTATAGATTAATAGAATAATAGGCTTAAGACTCTACTATAATAGCTATACTATGTTAATAGAATAAAGAAATACGCAATTAGATTCTATCCTAACCCTTCTCTAAGCCTGCTAGGTTTAATAACATACTACCTCTACCCTCTCCTGCCTTATATTATAAACCCTTCCTAGTTAGCTTACTATATAATAGCACTAAGGCAAACTTCTCCTTCTAGTAAATAACTATAGAGTTTAAACTACGTGTAGATAAGGTCTTTATTAGGGATAAGGAGGCAAGGTTTATATATATTTAGTCCTAGTTATTACCTATAGTCTAGCGCGCTATAGCACTATACTTTAAGGATAGTGCACGTAAGCGTTAGGATATAAGCAGGTTTCTTAACTACCTAGCGTTCTATTATAGCAACTATTACAGGCAGGAGCGCGCCTAAGTTGCGTTAGAATAATTATATTAGGGCTAAAATTAGCCTTTTATAGAGTTCTTTATAAATTTTGTATAGCTTCTTATATAGTTAGGAGGTTTATACTAGGATAATAAATAGAAGCTTTTATAACTTTAGCAATCTCTTAATAGTTATATGCGCTTAGTTTCCCTTAATAGGGGAGTCTCTAGGATAAACTATAATATAGCTATAGAGGAATATAAGACAATTATAGTAGATATTAAAATAGCCTCTTTAGAACTAGGTTTTCTTTAGGCTAGTAAGTCTAAGGAACCCTAGTAGAAGTCTAACTTAGATTAGGATAGCAACACAAATATAGTAGAAGTAGTAGCCTTATTAAATACACCTACTAAACCGCTAATATTATATCCTAACTAGATTCTATAGGACCTATTTAATACACAGAAACTAGCAAAGGTCTACACCTAGTGTAGATAGGGCAGTTATTTTGTGCGTATATACCCTAATACCCTATTGCTGCAACTAGTAGGTGTTAAGATAGTTGCAGTATTAGCAAGCAGCTCTAATTTAGGAAACTAGCTACCCCTAACTTTAGGCTAAGTTAGGGGTATAAGGAGGACACTATAATAGAGGAATTATTAATAGTAGAGGCTATTAAGTGTCCCCTAGATATTAAGGCTAGGTTAAATAATCCTCCTTTCTTTATTCCCCTCCTCCTAGGTAGAGTAGAGAACGTGCAAGCAATAGTTAATTTAGGGTACTAGTGTTTTAGTGTAGTTAAGGAAAAATTAGCAAGATAGATTAGTAGGAACTTTATAGATATTCCCCTGTAACCCTTATAATATGCCTTAGAGAATTACTAAGGGTATAAGAATTTTATAGTTAGTAGTATTAGACTATAATTTAGATAGTTAGCAGTCTTAGCTTTTAGCCTATATAGTACCTAGTCTCTCCTATTAACTAATACTAGGCAGACTATAGCTATGCAGAGAGGGCGTTGTTATAGATATTCTATAAGGCGAATTAATAATTAGGAAGGTAGGAAATATAGTAGTATAGAAGAGCAGGAGACGCCTATATCCTACCTATATCTCTATTATCTTAGGTTTAGTTATAGCAGGGTTGCTAAATTAAGGACCCTAATAGGAAGATATATAGGTATAAATTTTTGCAATAAATATACTAGATATTTTATAGGTAATATATAACTTACGCCTAATAAAATATCTAGGAAGTGTTAATAAGGGAAGTCCTATTAACATACACACTATCTATATTACTAATAGCATAGTTCCCTATAAGCCTAAGCATAAAACTAGAAAAACAAAGTTACTACTAGAACTATAAGAGTTTAGGGACCTGTTTAACAAAGAGTTAGCAAGCAGTTTGCTACCCTATTAGGGCAGTATAGATTACTATATTTAGTTAATAACTCTCCTAGATAGAACTTAGCCTAACCCCCTATAGGGTCCCCTATACCCTATATCTTATAATTAATTACTAGAACTAAGAATATAACTTACTAGATTAATAGACAAGGGCTAGATCTAAGCAAGCTCTTCTGTAGCTAGAGCTCTAGTATTACTAGTAAAGAAGCTATTAGGCAGTTAGCGCCTTTATATAGATTACTAGATACTTAATAGCATAATAATATTAGACTAATACCTACTACTACTTATTAAGGAAACTTTACGCACACTATCTAGCGTAAATTAGTTTATAAAAGTAGATATTTACGCTGCCTTTTATAAAGTTAGAATAGTAGAAGGTTATAAGTCCTTAATAGCTTTCTATACCTAGTTTAGGTTATATAAATAGTTAGTATATCTATTTAGTCTTAGTAGTGCGCTATCTACTTTCTAATAATATATTAATACTGCGCTTATAGAGTTACTTAGATTATATATAATAGCCTACCTTAATAATATCCTAATTTATTTAGGAGGAGACTAGTTTAACTATATAGAAAAAGTAAAGCGTGTACTTACGCTATTAAAAGAAGTAGGACTACACCTAGACTTAGAGAAGTGTGCGTTTAGTATTAAGGAGGTACGCTACCTAGGCTATATTATTAAGGTAGGCAAATTACTTAGACCTAACCCTAAAAAGCTTAGGGTAGTATAGGAATAGGAACCCCCTAGGAATATAAGAGAGGTAAGGAGTTTTCTAGGTTTTACTAACTTCTACTGTAATTTTATCGCGAAGTTTTCTAAAGTAGCAGCGCCTTTAAACTAACTAACTAGGAAGGACACCCTATTCTAATAGGGAGAGGAAGAATAGAGTGTATTTAATGCACTAAAAAAGGTATTTATATCTAGACTAGTACTAATGCAATAGGACCTAGCTAAAGAAATATTATTAGAAGTAGACTATTTAGGATATACTCTTAGGGGTTGCTTATTATAAAAAGTTAAGGGCGTCTAGCGCCTAGTTACTTACTACTTTATAGCACTAACACTAGAGAGACAAAACTACACTATACACGATAAGGAATTACTAGCTATTATTAAGTGTCTTAAAAGCTAGTTAGCTAAGTTATAGAGCGTTTATAAACTGTTTATAATATTTATAGACTATAAAAACCTAGAGTACTTTACTAGCCTTTAAAGCTTAAGCAAGTAATAGTGCTGCTAGGCAGAGGAACTTTTAAAATATTAGTATATCCTATAGTA